CCACTGTTTTACAGATGAGAAAATTGAGGAACAGAGAAGTTAAATAAGAGGCTCAATAAACATTTGTGATTTGGTGGACCTTATTAGACTTTTCTTGTGGGGGAAGGGTTGCTATTTCAGTGTATGGTGCTCAGTTCACTAGCATCTTGCATAATTCCTCTCCCCTCTCCTTTCTCCACCCTAACTTTCTCCATCCCAGAGGGCCCTCTACACTTCAGATCCATCTTCCTTTTTAGGCAGAAAGGATTTCCACTCTCACATATTTGGATTTTAGCAATTATCGAAATATTTATTTTCAAGCAGTTAATTCTCCCCTAATAGGAACACTAATACTCATGTTTAACGTAATACAATTTTCTCTACTGTTACATTCCTTTGGTTTTAACTTTTTTTATGTCAACCAAGCCATTTTTAAAATAAAAACTATTCATATCACTTAGAATAAAAGAATAGATTTAAACTTCCCAAATTAGACCTTATCTGATAGCCCTTCTTATATTTAGCCCACCTGGATACCCTCTTTCTTCAGCCTCCTTACATCATGCAGCAATTCCTAAATCTGGCTGTATATCTGTTACCTTGGGATCTCTGGAAAGGCAGTCCTGGAACAAACTGCAGAGATTCTAATTCAGCAAATGAAGGTGGGCCGGGGGTTCTGCATAGTGACAAAATTCCTCGGTGATTGTTTAGGAGCACTGATGGCACTGACCTCATTTCAGGGGCTCATGGACCACATGTGGCTAGTGCCCACCATATTGGACAGTGCAGACATGGAACATTTCCATCACTGCCTGAAGTTCTAGTGGATAGCACTGGGCTAGACTATTTATTCTCCACAGCACTTACTGTGATGCTTAGCTAGTGTAGCCTTATCTCTATCCTTCCTGAACCTCCCAGACTCCTCCCATGCCATCCGAACTGTCACTCCCTAAACAGAAAACCTTCAAACAGCTCAGCGCCTTCTCCGATGGTTCACTCTGCCTCTGGGCCTTAATTGATTTCCTCGGTTAAGGGCCAGAATATGGGGTTAGGGTCCTCTTTACTTCTGGTAACTGCTGTCATGCTCTTGTGAAAGACTCAACCACTTGGAGGCTCGTATCATTTGGCTATTATCTCTCTCCTCCTTCCTACTGCTTTACTTCCAGCCTCCTGATCATCTTATTCCTTGGAGACGTTTACACCTGGCTCAAAGTCTTCCTGTTTATCTCAAACCTTGCGGTCATCTTCGATAACGTCAATGTCCTGCTAACAATTGGTCCCTCGGTTCCTTGACCTTCTCATCTCCAATAAAAATAAGAGCTAACACTTGCTACATGCCAGTCATTAATCCAAGAAATCAGCATGTTACGTATTAACCCATTTGATTTCATGACAGCTCTGTAAAATAGGTCACTGTTATTATCATCTCCATTTTACGGATGAGCAAACAGTTAAGTAATCTGCTCATGGTGTTGTCACCATTAAGTAGTGAAGGCAGGATCTAAACTCAGGCACACTAGTCCCAGAGAGCATATGCTTCATTCCATACAGATTTTCTCCTTCCAGTGTTGGTCTTTCTTCCATTCAGTCTCCGCTACCCAGTTCCACTGCTTTACCATGAATTCTGCCATCTCCTCTACCTGCATCGTCTTCATATCACTAATTCAGCTATGCCCTCATCTGACCAACTTCCTCATCCTCCAGCAGGTCAATAAAAGCAACAATAAAGTAATGATAATAATAAAACGCATATATGGTCTAAGTGTTTTTCACATGTTAAACTATTTATTCCTCACAATAATTTAATGACAAAGGTCAGTAGCATTATCACTCTTCTACAGATGAGAAATCGAGGCACAGAGAGGTTAAGTAACAAGTGCAATGTCACACAGGTCATAGATGATTGAGTCAGAATTTGAATTCAGTCAGGCCCCAGAGTTCACATTCTTATCTACTGTGCTAAGGATGACAAACCTGGAGTTGTGGGGAAAATCATTACCATCTTGGGATTTTTTTCTCTCAAACTACTCATGCCTACTCTCCAGTTCCAAATGTTTGCTTATTTGTTTATTTTGAAAGAGCTTCTCAGATGTTTTGGACATTGGCCGCATATTGAGAACCACGAATTAGATCATTTCAACAACCTCCCAACTTGGCATTCTGGTTGAGTTCAACCTACTGTTGTCCTGCCAGCCTTGGTTATGCCCACTTCATAGGAACAGGTCAGCGCTTGGCCTGAGAGTAGAGGCATCATGACCAGCACAATTGAATGAAAAAAAAAAAAAGGCATCAGTATCAATAGCTTGGAGGGGCTGTAGCAAGCAGGGTCAGACAGATTTCTTAATGCCTTCATAAAGCTTGATGTGTGTTTTTTTCTCGTGTCCATCTGATTTGATCTAATAGCCAGGACAAGGACCAACTGCTTACCTGGGCTTGCACAGGGCAGCAGTTTGCTCCTCATTAATCTGAAAGCTTCTAAAACAAGAAGAGAGAAGGAGAGCAAAGAAGGTAATCTTGGCATAGGTCCAAGGGAAAAGCAGTCTGGCTGAAACCTTTCAGTTCCCTTGGCCAGGAAGCAGCAATCTACGTAAACAGGAAGTTGAGAAGGTTGGGGGAGAGGGCAGTGGTTAGTTGGTGAGAACAAGAGCTGACGCCAGATCCGCGTAAGCGGTTACATGCAAAAGAGATTCCGATACAGGCCCAGACTTTGCATGTTAACCAGCCCCGCTCACTCTGGAGGCCTTCTTTCATCAGGGTTGCTCTATGTGGTATGTGCTGGGCCCTGTTCTTACATGGATAAATCTTTGAGCACCTGCCCTTTTTTTGTCAGTTGTCTGCTTAGGGTAGTTTTACTTTATCTCATTTAATAATCTAAACATTTTGTGAGAATGGGTTTACTATTTCCGTGTTTTTAGGTAAGAAAACTAGCTCAGAGAGATTGTTACCTTGCCCAAATTCATTTACATTATACCAGTATACAGCACTTTTGAAAACTGTCTCCTTTCTGTAAAAGTGACTATTAAGCATATAACCTATTAGAAAGGGGGTGCATGTGGTTTCCAAGGGTACCATAACAAATTACCACAAACCTGCTGGCGTAAAATAGCAAATCCATTTTGTCATCATTCTGGAGGCCAGAAGTCTGAAGTCAAGGTGTTGGCAGGTGACACTACTTCGGAAGGCTCTAGGGGAGAATACTTCCTTGCCTCCTCTTAGTTTCTGGTCATTCCAGACATTCTTTGCCTTGTGGCTGCATGACTCCATTTTCCTTCTCTGTCTTCACATGGTCTTTCTTCTTTGTTCCTAATCTTCTCTTCTGTCTTTTATAAGGACACTCATTGGATTTACAGCCCACCTGGATAATCCAAGATGATCTCATCTCAAGATCCTTAACTTAATTACAGCTTCAAAGACCCCTTTTGTCCAAATAAGTTAACATTCACAGGGGCAAGGTATGAGGACATGGATGTATCTTTTTGGGAGCCACCATTCAACCAACACCAGGGGATATCATTATTAAAATATAAATGCAGATTTTGTAGTATTTTAATAACCACAAGTTTGAGAGGGACATTATCTTTTTCTTTTTGATAATCCTTTTCTGAGGATATTTTTTCCATTGCTTTTTAGAGAGAGAATGTAAGGGAGGTCTGGAGGGGAAGAGAGAGAGAGAGAGAGAGAGAGAGAGAGAGAGAGAGAGAGAGAGAGACATATCTGTGGAAGAGACACATTGATTAGTTGCCTCCTGTACACGCCCTGACCAGGGCCAGGGATTGAACCTGCAACCCAAATACGTGTCCTTGACCGGGAATCCAACCTGAGACCCCTCGGTGCCTGGGCCGATGCTGTAACCACTTAGCAACACTGGCCAGAGTGAGAGGAACATTATCTTGATTAATGTTCCCATGGCCAGATCCCCATTCTTTGAAAGAATAAACTTTTCCAAAATACTGCTCTCCCCAACCACTCCTACCCAAACCTTAGGTCTATCAGAATTTCAGGGCAAGGGAAGTGTATCACAAAGTGTATTTTGAAAATGCACTCCAAGTGAAGATGATATACCCTTCTCACAAAGCACATGACCACCCATGGTTGAGAATTATTTCTCTGAGGGAATGGTATAACACAGGCTGATGGGTGAAGGAGAGCCTCGGGGTATGTTGATTGTATGTTGAAAAAAGAAAGAGAAAAATCTAACAACAGTAGTGATCATGGAGGTTCAAAGTTGAATCGACCTAAAGAACCTCAAAATCCAAAGGCCAGGGTTGAAAGGAAAGGCATGATTACTACCCAAGAGAAACACTGTTGTCCCTGTGATGTGTCTGAGATACAAATGTAGGCATGTCACTCTCTGCTTAAGATCTTCATTGGCTCCTGATGAATATTAAATGAATTTCATTTTCCTTATCACAGCACACAAGGACTGTAAACGGGCCTCTACTACTTGTTAGACTCATCTTTCACCACTCTTTCTCAAAGACCGTCTCCTCCTGCCACACCAAAATTCTTGCTATTTCCCAAACAAGTCATGTGCTTTATGGCTTTTCTAGCCTTGAACATTCTGTTACATCTGCTTGGAATGCTCTTCTTTCTTCTCTGCCTGGTAATTCCTACTGGCACCTCAAGAGCAGTTTCCCTGCTGCTTCATCTGCAATTTTTCTTTAAGAAGCCTCCCTACTCCTTTCCATTAATCGGCACCTTCTCTGCTGTGATTTCAAGTCAGTTTGTTCATGGGAACTGTTGACCTTTGTTATACCCAACCTTTCTCCAATACTTTGAGAGCTTTTAGAAAGAACTGCCATATTCATCCCTGAGTCCCCAGTATAGTAGGTGCTCAACAAACGTTTGCTGAAAAATGAAGGGACTGAGTCATCATGGCTTCAAGTTTGAAATACTTGCGTTTGTTGACAGTGGGATCCACCTAGGCTTTCAATCTTTGTAAACCTGTCAGGCTAGAGCCACAGGCAGAGAAGAACATAGAGGCAGTCCTAACTGTAAGTCTCTAAAAGGCACAAGAAGAAGGAATTGTAGGAAACTCAGTTTGGGAACATAATGGGGTTTAAGACAGATTGGGAGCCCTCAGTCCATGTCTCTACCTTCAACATGAAGACTACTATTGAAGTGGAATTATGTGTGGTTTCCGATCAATACAAAGGGTAAGGATGACACTTCTACAACTAAGAAGTGTCAATACTGATAGCAGGGAGCTATATAGTTGTGGGATGAACTGGAGAATAGAAGGAAACATTTGTGAGACCCATTAGAAGCCTACTGAACAAGTTAAGAGGGACTTGGGTCGGGGGGCACGCTGCAGGGTTGAGGCCAGCGGACCGCCAGGAGGCAGAGCGCGATGCCCTACGCCAACCAGCCCACAGTGTGGATCACGGAGCTCACCAACGAGAATGTCAAGTTCATCATCGAGAATACGGACCTAACGGTGGCCAATTCTATTCGGAGGGTCTTCATCGCCGAGGTGCCCATAACAGCCATTGACTGGGTTCAGATTGAGCCAATTCCTGTCCTTCACGACGAGTTCATCGCTCACAGGCTTGGATTAATCCCCCTCACTAGCGATGACATTGTGGACAGGCGGCAGTACTCCCGGGACTGCACGTGTGAGGAGTTCTGCCCCGAGAGCTCGTTGGAGTTCACTCTCGACTTGCGGTGCAACGAGACCAGGCTCCGCACGTCACCTCTGGAGACCTCATCTCCAGCAGCCCCCGGGTCATTCCAGTGACATCTGGAATCGAGATAATGACCCCAATGACTACGTGGACCAGGACGACATCCTCGTCGTCAAGCTGCGAAAGGGCCAGGAGCTGAGACTCTGCGCCTGTGCCAAGAAGGGCTTTGGCAAGGAACATGCTAAGTGGAACCCGACTGCAGGGGTGGCTTTTGAATATGATCCCGACAATGCCCTGAGGCACACAGTGTACCCCAAGCCAGAGGAGGGGCCAAAGAGCGAGTACTCAGAGCTGGATGAAGATGATTCCCTGACTCCATACGACCTCAATGGCAAGCCGGAGAGGTTTTAATACAACGTGGAGGCCTGTGGCCCTCTGCGCCCTGAAACCATTGTCCTCTCAGCCCACTTTGGGTTGAAGAAGAAGCTGAGTGATTTATAGACCCAGTTGAGCCACGAGATCCTATAATTCACCATAAATTAGCTGAAGCTTATCCGCCTGAGCAGAAAAGGATCCGAGCAGCAGCTGTGCAGCAGGTCTCCTGAGACCCTCCTAGTTCCTGAAGTCCCGACAGTTGTACTTAAACTTCTTGGCAAGCCATCGGCACCAACTAGAAAGGTAGCAGAGGGAAAGGGTGCTCCTCCCAGCCTTGCTAGGTCCCAGGTAGATTACAGGGTGCCCCTGGTATTTGAGGCAGGACAGTCCTTCACTGTGCATGCAGCATCCCTGGCCCTGCCTGCTAATGGCCACATTTCCCCAGAACTCAGACTTCCCTTCCCCCCTGGTCTGCTTGTAGAGGTCGTACTGCTTCCCTGTTGAAAACCAGTGAGCTAGACCCTCCTCTCTTGGTTATTTCAGCTCTTGACTTACTTTCTTTGTGAAAGTTAGCATTCTCACAGTTGTATCTTAGGTTTCTGCTGTTAGGATTGAGTGTTAGAAGTCTCATTCAGGCTGCCTACAAACCCAGCCCCTGACCATGGTCAGCCTATGCTTTGCTCAAATTCCCAAGTGTATTTAGACCTTGGCTGTCCCTCCCCTACCTCACCCCCAAATAAACCCTGTATTTCATTCTCTAAAAAAAAAAAAAAAAGGTAAGAGGGATTTGATGTTGGGCCCCATTGGCTGGTATACACATATTGTTTGAGAGTCTATTATATTCTTAGTTCCTGCCACTCTTACCTAATTATGAAAAAAGTGGATCATATTGCCCACCTCTGGCATTTGTTTAGGGCATCTGATCCATAGGCTGGGAACAGTTATGAGTCTTGGTATTAGAACTCTTCTTAAAATAATGTTAGCAACATCTGAATCAGTTGGCTCAAGCATCACAGTATAATCCAAGGTCTAAAACCAGAGTGCATATCAATTGGATAAGTTATTTAACTTTTACATGCCTCAATTTCCTCTTTAGTAAATGGGTATGATATAATAGTATATACCTCATAAGGTTGTATTACAAATATAATGGATTACTTAACCGTTAATAAGAGTGATCAATAAGCATTATCTATTATTATAACTATTAAGAAGCAATTACAAAATAGTTGTAATTATGTGAGATGGTGGATATGTTAACTAACCTTATTGGAGGAACCATTTTACAATATGTATGTGTATCAAATCATCAAGTTATACATCTTAACTTTACACAATATGTCAATTCTCAAGAAAGCTGGGGTGGAGGGAGGCAAATACTCTAAAGTGCCACCTTCTGAACTGAAACAATAATAGTTATATTTTTCTAGCATGATAGGATCTGTATTAGTCAAGACTCTTAAAGATGCAAATGACAGAAACTCAGTTCAAACTAGCTTATGCCAAAAAGAGGACTTTCTTGACGTGTCTCTCTGAAAAGCCCAGGGTTATGGATACCAGTCAATACAGCTGGTTTCAGAGGCAAAAAGTGACACCACAGGACTTGGCTTTTTATTTAATCTCTCAGTTCTGCTTTTCTTCTATGTTAATTTTATTCTCAGACAGGCTCTTCTTGTAGAAACGATATTGCTATTGACAATTTCAGACTTGCATTCCCACAAGTTAATCATGGTAGAGATCTAGCAAAAATCTCAGCACTGATTCTCATTGATCCAAAGTAAATCAAATGCTTATTCCTAACCCAACCACTGTCTTTCTGTTTGGCAAGGCCTGGATTGTGTGCCTACCACTGAGTGAGTAGTAGGGCCTTTCCACAAAGACAAATTAAGGTGTGGTGTCCAGAAGAAAAGCAATTGGAGGCAGAGAAGGACAGATTCAGGCTTGGGGGAGCCTGAAGCTTTATCGTTTTGGGCCTTTGCTTAATAAAAATACTATAAAATCACAAATTTAAAAATAAGTATTAAACTGAATATTACTAAGAATGAAAAAATAAATCACATCAAATTATTGGAATGTTGGTGATTTGGTTCCTTTCTTTAAGTCTGTTTGGGCAATTTGCCAGAAATGCTTATATTTAAATGCTTCTTGATTGTCTGTCCTAGCTGGTTTGGCTCAGTGGATAGAGCGTTGGCCTGTGGACTAAAGAGTCTCAGGTTCAAATCCGGTCAAGGGCAGGTACCTTGGTTGCAGGCTCCTCCCCAGCCCCGGCCCTGGTCAGGACTCGTGCAGGAGGCAACCAATAGATGTGTTTCTCTCAAATCAATGTTTCTCTTTGTCTTTTCCTCTCTTTTCCGCTCTCCCTAAAAAAATCAATGGAAAAATATCCTTGGGGGAGGATAACTAAATAAATAAATAAATGCTTCTTGATTGTAATGTGGCTTCCTCTCCCCATCTAGAATGCTCCGTAACTCCTAGACTCTCCCAGCATTTACAGGAACCCATGTAGCTGGGGCTCTGAAGCTTAAAACTTTGTTAGCTTCACAATAAATTCACCTCTGGACATAGGGCAAGCAAAAACAACAGATGTCTATTTCTTATTAGCAATTTTTTGTTTTGTTTTAAAGAATGGTGATCTAGACATATATCCAAATAACTCTGCTCAGGCCACCGCGTCTGGGGAACCTTGAGTCTTGGCAGAACAAGTGATCATCATTTTGTACTTTGTGGCACTGGCCAAACCCAGCTGGATTTTTGCTACACTGATTTTAACAGCTCTGCACTCACGTAATTCAGTGCTTTAAAAGGCCATGTTTTATTTGGCACTGATGCTTTCAACAAATTTACAGGGACCGTTGGCCTGAGGAGTCAAAAGCTGAACCTGTTCTCCCTCAGCTCCTGGCCATGTCCTAATTTCTTCCTTCTTCTCGTCTACTTTTTCTTCCACCCCTTACTTCTCATCTTCCTCCTTCCCTTCCTCCACTTTTCCTTCTTCCCTTTCCTCTTCCCCCCTGATTGTTTTGACAGATCTTTCAGTTCAGACAGTACATCACACATGAGGCCTAAATTATGAGCAAATTCCACTGACGTCAGGCCATTTGTACATCCAGTGAACTTGGCTCGGTTTTTGGCATTTGAGCTGTGTCCATTGGAGACGCAGACAAGTGCCTTCAGGGCAACAGAGGCATTCCAGATGGTGGTGCTCAGATAGGCTCCCCAGCACACTGCCTCCCATCTGGGCCAGCACTCTGAATGCCATAGGCCACTCTCAGCACATCCCCATAGCTGCTGTTGACTCTTGGAAGCAGCGCAGCAAACATACTGTGACTTATCAGGGGAAACCTGCAGATGATTAACTCTGAGCCCATTATATGCTGCATTTCCATCCAAGCGGACTCCAGGCTGAGGGTAAACGCAGGGTAGGAGACAGGGCAGACACAGTGGAACACCAGGAGTTTGGCAGCAATTGTAAATGCTTTCCCCAGCAAAGGAGACATATCAGTAGGAGAAACAAAACATTTCGAGATATACAAACTTGGGTTCAAGTGCCTGCTATGTCACTCATTACCTGTGTGAACTTGAAAGATTGTGGTGGATATCTGTCAAGTGTTCTTTCCCACACTGCTACTTCTGGAAACAGCAACTATTTTCCTTTGGGGCACTGCTTTCCTACTCCATAAGGCTCAGAGCTCTGTCCTCCTAACCCCAGCCCCTCCTCTTTCCTATCCCTCAGTAATAGTACCCAGCAGGGCCAATGACAGTGTCCCAGCCCCCCAGACATAGCAAAGTCCATGGTTTATGCCAGCCATTATTGTGATTTCTTGAAAATTTCACATTTCTAAATTGGATCAAAGCTCTCTATGAATGTTTATATACCTTACAACTCCAAAATGAGGGAGGAAGGAAAACAGCTATCACTCTAGCTAGGAGAAATGGAGACATCTAAAGTTAAACGGTTTGCCTCCACTTCCCTGAACCACTGCCACAGCTACCCAGATTTATGGAGGCAATGTGGGATTACACATATGTGAATTTTCCTGGCAGCTGAAGATTATTCTTTCAAGGATTAAAGGACCTCTTTTTTTTTCTGTTTAAACATATTATTCACATCACCCTGACCGGTTTGGCTCAGTGGATGGAGCGTCGGCCTGCGGACTCAGGGGTCCCAGGTTCGATTCCGGTCAAGGGCATGTACCTTGGCTGCGGGCACATCCCCGGTGAGGGGTGTGCAGGAGGCAGCTGATAGATGTTTCTAGCTCTCTATCCCTCTCCCTTCCTCTCTGTAAAAAGTCAATAAAATATTTAAAAAAAAAACACATATTATTCACAGACTTTTCTGAAATGTTTAACACACTTTCCTTACTTTATGAAAGATACCACATTTAACCTCTTCTGGATGGCAAGGAGTCATCAGAATGAATAGTTCATTCTGTGTGATAACATAGTTTGGGGCTTTTTTTTTTTAAAGTTTGTCCCACCCTGCACTTCCTAGCTCCTTCCTGCTCACCCAAGCACCACAGGGTGAGCTCCCCACAAGAATGAGCTTCATTCATAGCCAAAGCTCTAATTCTCTTCCTGTCTTACATCTCCCTTCCTGATGTGTTCTTGCATTCCTCTGGCTCTTGACCTTCTGTTTGCTTCCTGCTTTAAGTCCAGCAGTTTCCCCCCTTAGATCTCACCTGTGATCCAGCTGCTCTGTAACTGACCTTTGGTCCTCTTCCTCATATGCCATTCTGCCTTTGCCCTTGGGCCCTGTTCTGCCTCCAGCTGGCACTTGTACTGAGCCATGCTAGGGTCCCATGACGAGGGATCAGATGCTAGTGTTCCTGTTGCCTTTCACATGGTTAAATGGCCTGGGATCATTTACTTCAGGGACAAACAACCTTACACACCACCATGGCCTGTAGAGTAAGACAAAATAGCTGGGCATGGAAGAAGGGTTATGGCAGATATGCACACTGCTGCAGGGGGCACATTGTAATTGAGCAGTTCAGATATCAGTTCTCTGGGGAGTGTCAGTTACCATGGTTACTTGGGTTGTAGATGCTTTGTTGGAATGGTTACATTTCCAAACCTATCAGCTAGGTTCAATTGCTGGTTCCTGTATTGCCCAGGCTCAGCTTCCTCTTGTTCTCTCTCT